TACGTAACAGGCCGAAGCAGACAATATATGCTAGCGGTGGGCTTGGGCTGTTACAAATGGTATCAGAGCCAAACACCGGGCGACATGCCAGCGGGGATGTTGCGCCCCCAAAGGGGGTGGATTGTGAGATCCCACATCGGTTGGAGAGGGAAACGAAACCTTGCTTATAAGGGTGTAGAAACCTCTTCCTAGCAGACGCATTTTAAAATCGTGAGGCTGACGGCGATACATAACGGGCCAAAGCGGACAATATTTGTTAGCGGTGGACTTGGGCTATTACAAATGGTATTAAAGCCAGACATCGGGCGGTGTGCTAGCGAGGATGCTGGGCCCCCAAGGGGGGTGGATTGTGAGATCCCACATCAGTTGGAGAGGGGAACGAAGCATTGCTTATAAGGGTGTGGAAACCTCTCCCCAGCAAACGCGTTTTAAAACCGTGAGGCTGGCTGCGATACGTAACAGGCCAAAGCAAACAATATCTGCTAGCGATGGGCTTGAGCTGTTTTTCTCGAGGAAACAACGTACTAAATGTTTTCTTTTCTCTTAGGCTGTGCTTGTGCATCCCGATAAGAATATGGGAAGCCCGTTGGCTAGCGACGCATTTAAAAAGCTTCAATGTGCATATGAGGTAATTTTCTTATTATGGAATGGATACTAAGTTCCCCCAGAAAGAGAGCCGACATTATAGCCCGAAAGCGAAAAACCTTAGCTTTCTGTTTCTTCCATCGTATCTGCCTCGATAGTCGAGTGACTTCCAGTTCTCTGGTCGTTATCATCTCGTACTCATGTTTACATGGAAAATTAGGTTCTTTCCGACTCGGTGAAGAAACGAGACTACGATGAGCAATTGAGGAAGGAGGAATTGAAGACCAAAAGTGTCTGCCAAAGGTCCCAGTCCTATGGGACTTCACAACAGGTTCTGCATAATCTTTATATGATTGATACCGACATTTTATAGTTTCATTTATGTATGTGCGCTCGTTCATGATAAACGTTATTTTGTTTCGAACTCGGGAGATTTACGGTAATTAGAACGGAAGTAATAATACTAATAAAGATGCCAAACTCTTTCTGCTAGACTCTATATGAGGGAGAGAAAGAGAGTAAAGTCTCTTCTAGATGGCCTTACGTTCATTCATCGAGTGTGAGATCTCACATTGGTTGAAAAGGTGAACAAAGTATTTTTTATAAGGGTGTGGAAACCTCTATCTGGCCGATGCATTTTAAAAACCTCGAGGGGAAGCTCGAAAGAGAAAGCTCAAAGAGGACAATATCTGCTAGTGGTGGGTTTGGGTTGTTACAAATGGTATCAGAGACAGACACCGGGTAGTGTGCCAGCGAGGACATTGAGTCCCGAAGGGGGGGGGTGGATTGTGAGATCCCACATCGAGGAATGGAGAACGAGTGCCAGCGAGGACGCTGGGTCCTAAAGGGGGGTGGATTGTGAGATTCCATATCGGTTGGAGATGGGAACGAAACATTCTTTATAAGGGTGTGGAGACCTCTCAAGGGAAAACTCAAAGAGGACAATATCTACTAGCGGTGGACTTGGGCTGTTACATCAAGATTTTGGTATCTTCTTGAGAATTATTTTCGTACCCTCCACTTTTATCGAGTCACGGTATTGTGTGGCTTCTGAAGCTCGTTGGTTCTTGTCCGAGCATTTCTCTAGTTGCTAGTGTGTAGTTAGTAACTTTCAATCTACTTTATAAGCAGATGAATTCTGATTACTGCTCGGAGGAGTCGAGACGTATACAGTGCAGTAAATGCGGGCATTCGCATATATGGGTCTGCACGAATAGGAACAAGACGAAGGCGAGATGGTGCCAGGTTCTTCCCCAAGCACCATCTGTTCTTTCTTTTCGAATCTACCCTTGTTTAAATTTTACTTTCGAGAATAAAGTTAGTGTTCGTACGTGCTTTGATATCAGGATTGTTGTCAATATCATCAAGCTAAGGACGGAGACGGATGGGTCGAATATAAAGGGTCTCTAATCTTCGATAAACCTCAGAAAGTAAGTTCTTTTTCATGCTCAAGCTCAAGGGGAAGACTTAACGGATCGAACGTTAGCTCTAGTAGACAACATGGGATTCGACTATGTTATTCGTTCGGATCTTGTTGTTGTCTTATTGAATGTTGTGTTTGACATGCATATTTGACTGTTCGGATTCAACATTACTCTTTTCTTGTAGATGGATATACCTCGAGCTTTCGTTTGTGCTGAGAGCAAAATCTTCGATGTGTCCGAATGGGCGATTTGTCAAGTAAGTGGTTGATAGTCCACAGTTATATAGAGCTTTTGGGTTCATGCTCTGATCTTGAAAGATTTGGCTTTGGAGCAGGGAATGGCTTGCAGACCGAACACTCATCGCCCAAGCTTTCACGTAAACATGGTCGGTTTAGGAAAAACCACACAACGATCGAAGTCGAGTAGATTTCCTTGGGAATTGGATGCTGAAATGATGGACGAAGACGAGGAAGAATTCGAGCTTTGGCTTCAGGAGGCTTTAGCCTCCGGTCTCTTCTGCGAAACCTCGAAACGGAGGAAGAGCTGGAGCCCGTTCAAATTGGGACAGAAGAAAGGGAGCAGCAAACAATGGCGAAGAACATCGTGCTAGAGTAGCAGCCAAATCTGAGCCTCGGCAGCAGCATTGCAAGCTTCTTATTCCTGTGGAGAAAGGTATGAACGATAAACGGATTACTCGACCAATAGGACGAACGCGTATACTCATCGAAAACACTGAGTAAGACGTAATATAGGATCCAAAGCTTAGGCATAATAGCCTCTGTTGCTGCTGCTGCCCTCCCCTGTTCTTGAAGATTTAACCTGTACACCATCTATTCTCATGTACATATCTCTTTCTTTCTTTCTTATATGCTATGATATTTGATTTTGATTTTGTTTTTGTTTTTTAGTTTAATAATATGTGCTCTAACTTCTCATAATTATAATTATTGATTTAGTAATATGTATCCGGATACGGCTTAGTAAAGCAATACGGGACGATGGAATGTAATGGGATAGATGGTAGAAGGCTGTCTGCAGCCAAAAGCAATGATTCACTTGTCCCCTTGTCTAATGGGACTTCGTGGCAGACAACCGAAACGATTCCCACTAGATAGATGTCCCTTTCTCTCATTTTATAGCTTTGTGGACGATATCTTCATTGCATGGAACGATACACTCCACATTGAGGTGGTTAACTAGTGAAATGATGAAAATGCGACAATGAGATTTGACAAAAGGATGTTGCTTCGTCGTTTAAAGATATCTTCCCTCGTGGCGTACCATTTTTCCTTTCAAGCATGGCTTTATAGTGGCTCTTAATGGCGCCGACGGTGGAACCTTGTTTAGCGGTGAGCTCCGGCAACTGGGTTACGATTATTACAGAGTTCCCAAAAGACCCAGAAGACAATTTTTACTGTTCATGCTAGAATGGGTTGCCATTTTCGGGTGGTGTACTAGCAATGATGTTGGGTTCCCAAGGGATGGATTATGATATCCCACCAACATTTTTATAAAAGTGTAGAAACTCCTTCCTTATGGATGTGTTTTAAAATCTGGACCTTCAATGGCGAGTGGATTGAGAGATCCTATGTCGGTTAAAGTGGCAAATGAAGCATTCTTTATAAGGGCGTGGAAACCTCTCCCTACTATCTCTCTACTAAACGCGTTTCAAAACTATGAGGCCGACGAAGATACGTATCGAACTAAAGCGGTGGACTTAGGCTGTGACAGATTGAACAAACTTTGTTGTCGTCGATGTTCATAACAAGGAATCTTTACAGATATATCAGATTGAGTCTAAATGTGATACTCAGCCTGTCAAGTTCATCATTTACAATAGAGCGGATGGCTCAAGAGTTGTATAGCAATGCAGCTCCCGTGGAGCTACCGGTCGAAAACCGACAACCAATTTGAAGTGAAAACCACCGGAGCAGCTGAAAAAAATGGTTGGTTGTGTGGTCTCATAAGAACAGGTAGCATGTGAAATGTTGCAGGAAAGCAGCTGGTTGAGTTGGGAGTTCCAACTTCTGACTGCTTGAGGTTGAAGACAGAATCACTTGGCAGATGGTTGTGTTATAACAGCCCTATCCCTAACTTTCTCTTGTCCCCCAACAACTCACTCTCCCCCTCTTTCTCTCTCTTTTGAATGTTAAGTACCAAATCCCGTAACCATCAGGCCGTGTGTCAGCGACGACTCTAGCTTCCAAGAGAGTGGGTTGAGAGATCCCACCCCGGTTACAAAAAACCTCTCCCTAACAAACGCATTTTAAAAACTTTAAGGGGAACCCTGAAAAGTAAACCACAAAGAGAACAATATCAGCCTACGGTATGCTTGGACTGTTACAGGTTTGATTCTAGATGTTTAAGATCGTTTTAGTTCAATAATGCTCGGAGTAGAAATATCCGAACAGTTGTCGTCTTAATCAAGAACATAAACTTAACCAGCTGAGTTGAGATCGAATTATTAAAACTAATAGGATTAGACTTTCGAAAAACACCCTCGAGAATCTAAAACCTATTCAATAATTATTTTAGGGATAGTAGAATAACAATAATTTTGTGGTAGGCTTTGACAAAATTGTTTACAATTACACTTTCATTTAATTTAATTTAATAGCCCTAATTATTATTAGTTCATTTTCTAACATAAAATTATGATAAGATTTGAATTTAAGTTTCATAAATTATTTTATTAAATATTATATATATATATATATATATATATATTAAATTCAAAATTTTGATTTGTGAACATTTAAATTATTATTAATTTTTTTAATATAAAAATATCTATATTTGTAATTCAATTTTTAAAATTATAAGATATTTTTAAATTTAGAGAATAAATAGAACAAAATTAAAGGGGTAAGAGTGTAAATGGACCATACGTAATTTTTTAAGAAATTAAAAAGAAAATGGAAATAGCGCCATTGGCATTTTTTTGGCAGCATTTGCAAAAAAAATAAAAAGTAAAAAAAAAAAAAAAAAAATCCGTTTTTTTTTTCAGATATAAATAGTGGGTTTCCTGTACGGTGGCACCACGGACCTCTTTCTAAAAGGCCAACTCATCATCTCTCTAAACCCTAGCTATCTCTCTCTTTCTCTCTCCTCCAGATCTCGCCGGATATTCCGCCGATGTGATTTGCGCCGTAGACGTTGACCTTCCCCGGCGTCACCTTCTTCTCCATTTTCTCATCACCGGACTTCCATTTCACCTTCGCATGATCGCTGCCGCCATACATGGCTTCCGCATGCGTTAACAGCGTCGGAATGTCGCCGGAGAATTTCCTTGACTGTTCTTCTGCTCCTTGCCATTCCTATGGCTGGCTCAGCCCTCGCGTTTCCTTTAGTCGCGACTTCTCCGACGATTCCTCGCCTTCTTCCAACCTCGCCAGACCTATATCTAAGCCGAAGCCTGGCGCTGACCCGGCCAGGAAGTCCGAGATTCGAGATCCGGATCCTGAACTGGTGCCGGTAAGCGAGTTCGAGTTCTGTCTTCAAGATCCTGTTGCCTTGATGCTTCCTGCGGATGAGCTGTTTTTGGATGGGAAACTCGTGCCGCTTCAGGTCTCGTCTGTTAAACCCTCAGTCAATGGTTTGAAGTCGACGAGGTGCGTTTCGTCGCCGGAGACTGTGGTTCAAGCCCGCCGGAGAGTTGAGGACGAATGCAATACGGATCCGTATCTGTTTTCTCCCAAGGCGCCGAGGTGTTCCAGTCGATGGAGAGAGCTTTTAGGGCTCAAGAAGCTGTACCAGAGCAGCAGCAATGGTAATAGCAATAGCAATGGCAGCGCCAAAAACGAAAACCACAAAACAACGACGACGTCATCGTCGTCTTACTTCTCGGAAGCGAATTCGAAGGCGCTGAAGTATTTTCTCCACCGGAATTCGAAATCGTCGTTAGCCTCTTCGTTCGATTCGTCGCTTAGCCTTCCATTGCTGAAGGATTCCGATAGTGAGTCTGTTTCGCTATCTTCTTCCCGTGTGTCTCTTTCCTCTTCTTCCTCAGGTCACGAACACGAAGATCTTCACAGACTCTCGCTCGATTGCGAAAATAAGCCAAACAAGAATCCGATCTCCCTCCATCGGAACCCTAACCACAACAATCCACCGCGGATGAGACTGGTGAAACCGAGGCCTAAATCAGAGACCAATCCGAGATCAACTTCAACAGTGGATCATCATCCAACAGCGACGAGAGTAGGGAGAAGCCCGATGCGGCGCACACCTGGAGATTCATCATCCAGTCGATTAGGAGGAATCCGAGGAGTATCCGTAGATAGTCCACGAATGAACTCGTCAGGAAAAATCGTGTTCCACAACTTGGAGAGAAGCTCAAGCAGTCCGAGCACTTTCAATGGCGGACCAAAATTCAAAAACAGAGGAATGGAACGTTCATACTCGGCGAACGTGAGAGTAACTCCAGTCCTAAACGTTCCAGTTTGTTCTTCCCTGAGAGGATCCTCAAAATCCGCATCTGTCTTCGGATTCGGACCATTATTCACCGGCACCGGCGGTAGAAGTCACCAGAGTAGTAGCAGCAGTAGTAGTACTAACCGGACGACAACAAGGCGTATCAACGAAACCGACGGCGGAGGGAAACTCCATTGATGAGATTAGAAGAACAGGGATTTAGATATTGGGTAATAACACTAACAAACCCCGTTATCCATTTCTGTAATTTTTTCCCCCCTTCGTGATAAGAGACGGATTTGGATCCAATTTGCTAATTCTAACACAAAAAAAGAAGGTTCAGAATCATCATGTAAATAAGGCGGAGGGATTTCGTTCGTTTTGTTTTCATTCCAGTTCTAATTTTTTTTCACCATTTTGAATCCTCTGTTCCAAAGATCATGAAAATGGCGTCCCAATTTCCAATTCGTTTTTCGCTGTTCCATCCAAAAGGAGCGTTTGAATCACACGCGCCGAGGGAGCCGTGTGGGTACAGAACTCTCTTGCGTTTTCGTTGAAGCTTTTCTCGTAATGATGTGCGACATACTTGTTATCTAAACCCTGTCGCTTTCAAGGATCTACACTTTATATATATATATATATAATTATAATCATAAACAATTTTATTAATTTAATACATATAATTTTATGTGTATTTTAATTAAATATTAAAAAAAAAAACGGTGGCCTCCGTGAATGTGTTAGTCTTTTGTGGTGTATAGGAAAAGATGCCAATATTGGAGCAGATGTGGTTTTTTGGTAAATTACAAAGTTAATTAATTAAATAAATAATAAAAATCTGGTTTGTTGATCTTTGATGTTTCCAAAAGCTCCTTTGCCTCATGCTTTTTGGATCCAAATGCAAATTATATAAAATTTATTCCCTTTTCTTTAATACTTTTATCTACGCTTAAATATATTAATTTATTTTTATTTTGTCTTTTAACATTAAATTCTTTCTTTAGTATCCAATATTAAAATAAACCTTATACCTTATCTCTCTCTATATAATATAAATTATTTTAATACTTTATTTATATATATATATATATATATATATATATATATATATATATATATATATATATAAATAATGGATAAGTTAATTGAATTTATAATATAGTTTTTTTTATAAGAATCACAGTGTTCTAAAGGTACCTATTGCCAAGAAGATTCAAAAAAATATGTCAACAACATAATTCAAACCTAGACGCAAAGAGCTCAATTCATTTCGAACATTAGCTACTCAAACTCATCAACATTTGTTATTTGACTCATTTTTTTTTTTTTTGTAGAGATTAAAGGGGATCGGAAATAAATCTCATTCACAAGCGCCTTTTGTAAAGAGACTATAAATACCCACAATATGAAATTAAGATCTCAAAATTGAGATGTTTCCCTTCGAAATCCGAGCATCATATTTGTCATTTCTAAGTTTGAAGCAATTCTTGCGGTAGAATTGCACACAAGCCATTCAATCAAGCCAAGATCAAGTTAGATTATGGAGTGACTCAAGAACAATGTTACAAATCTTGCTCTTAATCTTCGATATAATAGATAATCTAATTCTAGCCTTATTTATTGTTGATCCAAATTTCATATAAGAGGTGTTAATTACTCTGATTCAAGGGTTCTTGTTCAAACAAAAGCTTGGATAGTTGAACCGAAAATTATGGTTGTCTTATCAATTTTTTAAAAAAGAAATATTATTGGGAATCATTTTACTCATATTCATTGTTTTTTAAAATTTTTTATTATTATTTTATGCATGAAAGACATAACTTAGGATAAATCAAAAAAATGTGGGGAGAAAGCATAGGGAAGTTAATCCTAATGTACTTTACAATTAGGTTTTCTTTTTAGGTCTTGTCAATTCATACTCTTCCATTTTTTTTCTTTAATAAAAAAGTTATTTTTCCACGAGCACACATTTTTTCTTCAAGAACTTAATAATAACTCTAAATTTAAACGTGTTTTACCCGATTCAAAATACTTCCAAAGCAAGTAACGTAATCTTGTTGTAAAAACTGTCGAGACATAAAGACATTACACGACACAATATGTGCATTATTTTGTCCATCCGGGCAGTCGACTTTCTATTCCTTTTCTGCCCCTTTGGCAAAAAAAAAAAAAAAAAAAAAAAAAANTTATTTTGTCCATCCGGGCAGTCGACTTTCTATTCCTTTTCTGCCCCTTTGGCAAAAAAAAAAAAAAAGAAAAAAAACAGAATTTTTTTGCAATTAATTTCTAACTTTTATCATTAGGTTTTTAAATGTAGAAGTGATCTAAACTGTACACAAAATAGGACGTTAGATCAGACATGTCTTTTTCTGTCTTTTTTTATTTATTATTTTTTAAAAATAAATTTTGGTATTTTATTTTATTTAAAAAAATAAGAAAATATTCTCTGAAGTTGAGAAATGAAATGATGAGGCTAGTTGACCTAAACACCCTATTTCCTCTCGAGGGTCATTTTGTCTTTTCACCTTTTTATTTTCCTTTTAATACTTTTGGGGTTAGTTAAATAACTTATTCCAAATTACCCTTTTACCCTCGGTATTTGCCAAATTTTGCAATTATGTTTTTAGTTTAATTTTTATTTATTAATTATTAAAAAAAAAAAAAAAGGAGAACGTGGTTAAGGACAGTCCAAAGGGAAAGGGCGTCTGATGAGATTCTCCCTTTTTTTATTTATTTATTTATTTATTTATTTTTGTGAATCTCTTTTTAACAACAAATTATCTCTCTTTTTTGCCTTTTCTGGCCCTCCCTCCCCCTCCTCTCTAAAGGACACACAAACCCCTCAGAAACTGTAGGGTAGAGAGACAAGTACACGCTCGAGAGAGAAAATTACACGTTCGAAGCACCCGTGTTGGTCTATGAACATAGTTTTCATTCTTACAAACGACAAGTAACGTCACCATATTCTAGGTCACCAAAAACCGAACTCGAGTACTAAAGCATAACACACCGAAAAGACCCACATCAGTCTGTGAACATAGTTTTCGTTCTTAGAAGCGAGAAGTAACGTGATCATGGTGCAGGGAATGTTTGAGCCATCAGGAGCCAAATCTAAATCCCGAACCACAAAAAAGTATGATATGGAATTTTTTTATAATTAAAAAGTATAATAATTAGAAAAAAGTAATTTGCAATCTGCCAAAATAATAAAGAAAATAATAATTTTAATGGCTGAAGTGAATTATTATTATTATTATTATTATTTTATTTGGCTATAAATAGGAGTAGGTTTTAAATTGTTTTATATAAATGCCTTTTATCTAACGCTTCATATTCCATCCAATTTTGAGGTTAACATCTCACCAAACATAATATCCCATCGTGTTCAAACGCTCGACTCAAGATTTAGATCCGGATTTGAAATATGAATTTGATATCTGATGTCTCGACATTTTTCGACATTCCTCTATGACATGACAAACGAACACGGGTATTTTTAGTATGTTTTATCCTCATTGAAGTTACTCGATAGATAATTATTATAATTAAGTCACTGGTATTATCGAACGGGGAGGTTTGATTGTTGTTTACGCATTGTTGTATCGCTCTCGAAAGGGGGCAAGAACGTGGAAATGTTGGGTGTGTAATAACAAAAGTGTGTTGGTGTTAGTGAGTTTGGTTGATATGTCTTAAGTTAAAAGCAAAGGGATATTATTGTGTTGTTTGTTGATGGAATATTTGAACATGTCTTTGTCCTTTTGGATTTTAATATTCATAGCCATTCACTTGGATTTTTATCCAACTTATATATGGACACGGGATTGATGTTCGGGATGTCCCTATTATATAGTTGACTCATGGGTCGATTTTTAATAACCGTGTCCGAACTAGCACTGAAGGTCGATGACATTCTGAAACTTAAGATCGAGCTGTAGAACAGATATCAGTTTCTGGAAGAGTTATGCTCGGTTGGTATATATTATATATATAAATGAATGGCTTAGATTCTTCGTAATTATTTGGTCAAAGTTGGTGCCATCTTCTTACTCAAACTCATTTCAAATCCTTTCAATTATTGTATTTTTGTTGGAGAGTGTTTAATAATGCCTCATTTTTTGTGTCCGAGAAAATCTTCTAAACCCTAAACCCTAAAAATTTTAAACGCAAGTTCCTTATAACGTTATGTAGAATTTGTGAAGAGGTGTCTTTCCCAATTGCATTCTTTAGGAGTTTGTGATGTCGAAGTTCATCGAACGTTCTCATCACGTCGAGTCACATGGTAGATATTTGAGATAATATTGTCATTTTTGGACTTTTCCTTTGGAGCTCCCTTTCAAAGAACTGCGTCTGTTACGAATAGGTTTCCGTATCGTTCCAACTAATATGGAATCTCACTGTGACGTCCCACATTGGTTAGGGAGGAGAACAAACCACTATTTATAAGAAGGGTGTAGAAATCTTCCTCTAGCAGACGCGTTTTAAACCTTTGAGAGGAAGCCCAAAGAGGACAATATCTGCTAGCGGTGGATCTGGACGGACGGTTACACTCACAATCCACTCTCTTCGAGGCTCAGCGTTCTCGGTAGCAGTGGTTATGGAGAGATTTTTAAAAGAGGGAATGAGATATGGTTGGTTGGTGATGATGTGTGTGTGTTTCCTGTGGAGTGGGAAAAACAAAGAGAGAAAAAGCTGCGAAGAGTTAGGTTTGACCATATTTAACGAATGGGCAATAAGGGCAGTGTTTGGGAGTGGGCTCCCCTAACCCCCAACTCAGATTGACAGGGATTGATTTGATCCCATTTTTTATTATTATTTTATTTATTTAAGAGAGAGAAAGAGAGAAAAACGAGGAGAGAGAGTGAAGGGGAGTGTTTGGCTGGGGGTTTTCCCCCAGCCTTCCATGTTTTATCACGTGATTCCTTCCCCTTTTCCCTTTCTACCCCTCTTATTCCCAACCAATTTTCAAACCCTAATTATACTTTAATTATCCTTTTTTTTATAATAATATTATAAAAATATAAATAAATGTAACTGAATCTACTGGTCCAGTAGAGTAAGATTCGGATTAGCTTGTTGATTGAATATCTCAAAGCAAGAACATTACATTGAATCACTCCACAAGCAAGATCGATCATGTCTAGCTTGAATGATTCTTGTTGATCAAATATCTCAAACAAATCACTCCACAAGCTAGATTGATCATGTCGAGCTTGAATGATTCTACATGCAATATGTAGAATTGCAAATAAACTTAGTCATGGACTAAAGAAAAGCACAAATGCTCCTTTTATATATATATTTTCTCAGTCTGCTTACAAATACAACATACATGACTTTATATAGCCTCAACAATGAAACTATTAAAGGAAGATTCATACTTTATGGTCATAATTAGCCATTCACGGTAAATAAAAT